TTTTTATGAATGCCTGGGCAGGACGAGCCATGATGATGAGCTTGGTTCGTTAGTGCACTTAAATATTATCAAAATCTCTCACCGAAAAGGAGAGCAGCGTTCTTTTCCAGCATTTTGTAAGAGGATCCTCAGAATTAGGTGAAAATTACTCAGTTTTGAGTTGATTGATACGTAATTCCGTTTCAGGCAGTTCAAAATATGGCGGTGGCACAGAGCAAAATTTGTGCGATTGAGCTAAACTGAGTTCTGAAAGAGAAAAATGCGTTTTTTGGCACTGAATTAAAGTGCTGAATTGTTTCTATTAAGCACTGGAGCCAGGCCTGAGGAGTCGCTCATTCTGGTGACAGCTTTTGGGGATTCTTGCTTCTTTTGGGATTAAGATTTGTCGCTCCCGGACGGCTTTGATAAATGTTCACCAAATTCTTGGGTCTCCTTTCCGTGGTGTTTATTCATCAAATTCGATTTTTTTGGAACTAGACGGTTTGGCTTGAACCAGCAATAGAAGAAGCTCGCTCTGCTTAATCCGTTTTTCTGTGACTTCATTCAAACATTGGATTCCATTCCTCATTTTCAGCCAATAAGCGACTGCGAGGCGTCGATAAACGAACTCATCGAGCAAATACAACCAGATCGCTGGCCCGTGCCACAGGGCCATCGTCCACTTCGCGCTACCGGCAGTGCACTTGCTGTTGCAGTTACGCTGCTCGAGGTAAATAAATGAATTTCTGACTTTGAAAATTTCAAGAAATTTTAAACAGCACCTTATTATTTTTTGTGATCCTTCGTTGCAGTCTGTAAGATGGCATGCTTCTTAACGGAAAAGTGGCCAGCTTCTAATAGTAAAATCTAAATTTTAGTGATTAGGGGAAGAGAATTTCTAGGTGTGTTTCCCGAATACGGGTGCGCGGATCATGACATTCATTGGTGGCGCTTGCACGCATGGTCCAGGCGCTGTTGTGGGTGAGGAACACAAAAATCCGATTCGCTCTTGGCATACAATCAAGGAGGACAGTGCCTCATATATGAAAAAGGTGAGTGAAATTGTACGTAGTGTATTTAGTGTTTCAGTACGAACTGTAGTAAAGCTGGAGGCGAATCATGCACGACTTTCCACTTTCGGGATTTTCTGAAATATCTGTAGTTTCAACTTATTTATCCTGAAATTATTGCTCCGACGAATTAGCCACTGA